TTTACTATGTATTTGAACTCCTTCAGCATAGATTTCTTCATCTGTGGAGTAAGTGTAACAATAGGACCTATCTCTTTGGGTTGTTACGAGTAATGAATGTGACAGTGTCTCTAAAGAGCCCAGAAGCTTCTTTGGCACAATAATAAGCCCCCAATAACTTCAGCAATTATATTTTATCATTTCTTACTCTTATTTCTCTATGATTATGGACTGACTGAGGGTGGTTTCACTGAGGCTTTTATCCAGCCACAGCTGTTCAAAAATTGATTTTTTGACAAGCAGTAGGGTATGTTGATGCAAAAATTATCCCATCCTTCAAACCATATGCTTTTTTATTTAAAGTAAATTGCAGAACTTTAAGCTAAACCCTCATGAAAATCAAAATGCTTGTTCAGCGCCATGACTCTGAGCCATGCCCACACAGCCCTTCTGCCCGGGCTGCCCCTCCCTGTCTGCCCAAGGAAGCTCTGTGCCGCCTCCAAGGCCCCGCTGCTTGTGGCCCCCTCTGTGGAGGGCTCCCTCTTCCCCAGGGGTTTGCGCTCCTACCACACCCCTCTCGTAGCTTGCTTAGCACTTAGCATATTTTGTTGTAATTTTTATGTCTGCCTGGTCAAACTAGGGGCTTCTTGAAGAAAGGGGCCATGCCACATCATCATCATCATCATCATTATTATTATGCCATATTATGTTTAAAGCCTTATTGCCGAGCTCAGTGCCTGGCATGTAGTGTGCAGCCAAACGTTTTGTTTCATTGCGGGGTCCATTAACTTTATTTGTATCACACATAATTAAAGAATGTATCAAATGTCTGCATACAATTTACACACTACTAAACTGAATACCACGTATCAACACCTGTGAAAAGCAATATTAGGAAAGAGAATATTGCCACTTTCTTTTAAGTACAAATTTTAACTTTACATGTTAACTGTCTTCTTCTTGTATTTTGCTTAATGTTCTAGCTCTTTGAAGCAACTTTGAATCTTGATTTGAGCAGGCCTGTAAGACACAATCTTCCAAGTTTATACCATCTGAATATATGATAAGCTTTGCTTCTATAGCTTCTTCTACTTTGTTATTAAATATATTGACCCAGTAGACCCAGGATGAAGCTAGAGACCTCCTTGCATGGTTGCAATTACTTTTGGATGTGGTCATTCAACCCACTCACCTGACTGTTCCAACATACAAGCCTCATTTCAAGGAGAACTGAGGTTTACTTGGTATTTAATGCAGATGACACACTAACTGTATGCGACAGCTTATTTAATCTTTTCAAAGCCTTCCAACATTCCTATCATCTCTCCCATTTTAGACTTGAGGAAAGTGAGGCGCAGAAAGATCACCTTGAGTGAGCGCCCCTGGCTAGAATGGCGATGGGAATAGAATCAAGACAGGACTTAGACGTAGTCATGCTCTCTCCTTGGTTCTCAGCAAGTGTACCAGGGAAAACAGAGCAAAAGCCTTTTGGAAATGAAGATTCCCTACCTACTTGTGTTCAAGGCCCGGTTGGTTCAGTTTGAGGGAGTTGGTGTTGGTTCTAACAGCTCTTGCTTTCTGTCCCTGAAGGTCAAAGGAAGCATTCAGATGGCTGAAAAACATGGCCATGTTTTGGCAGCGCCACATCTAGAACCTGTAGAATGTGATGTCTGTCTGCCTTGTATTTTTATAACCTTGGGCATGTCATTTAACTCTCTGCCTCAGTTTATACATCTGTACAATAGGAATAATGATAGAATCTTCCCTTAGGATTTTTATGAGGACTGACATACTGATAATAAGGCTTTCAGCAAGTACTCGGTCAGTCTTCGCTGTCATTGTTGCCAACAGTACCACTATTTCCAGGAAGTCAGTATCCTGTCCGGACACCTGTCACGGGCAGAGCAGAATGAACTCTCTCCTTTGGGGTAAGAGAGCAGCCTCCAGGCCAAGACAGCCATCAGCATGGGAACAGCTTCCATAAAAATATTTTTAAATATTTAGGTTTATTGCAAAGGATTAAAGCACACATAAATATACAAATGTGCTCTCTCTCTTTCAAAACAAACGGTTACCCGGTCCCTCCAAGAGCGCAGTGTCTGGGAGCATTTGGAAGTGAGCTGGGAAACACATCGCTGGGTCTGGGTCCCCTTGCTGTACTCAGATATCTGATGAGAAGCATGTGTCATCCCAAATGTCTGAGCAGAAACAGGAGGCCCCTCCGGACCCTGTTCCCGGACAGAGCCAGGCAGAGCCCATCTTTGATGACGCTCTGCGGCCGTGGACACAGGAGAGCGCTCAGACTGCGGGGGGGGGGGGGGGGGCAGTGCGTGGCCTTTCTAAGCGATTTGTTTATGCGATTTATAAAACACACAGAGGGGTTGAGGTCCACGTCTGCCTGGATTCAAACCCCACCTCCGCCAATGACTCACTGTGCGACCATGGACACTCTTCAGTCTCTCTGGCACTAAGCTGTCAAATGCGGCTAAGAGTTCTGGAGGGGGGGGAGTACGGGACCTAAGGAGAGAGCATTGGATTTTGGTGGGTGTGCATCTACCTGGCGTCCTAAGTGGTTGTGGGTATGGACTGTCTTATCCACCCCAGAGCAGTTCCGGGAGTAGTTTCAGTGTGGACCTATGATAAAATGTTCACTGGCAAAGGCAACGTGGTAAAAACAAAGACCATTAACGATATAGTCCCTCTGGCTGGAACAGTTCATATCACACCCACACACACACCCACAAACACACGCAGACCTCACACCCACCTGAATAATTTCTGTGTATGTGTTCCATCTTGATTCAAGCATCATCTTCTTCAAAGAGCCCTCCCCGACCCCTTGACTAGTTTACAAATCACCTACACACTCTTATAGTAGCTCTTTTTTCCTTCATCTGCTTATCACCCAGTTTGCAATTACACATTTGTGCGATGATTTTACTAATGTCTGTCTCAGGGGGACCAATGAAATGTCCCAGCGTGCCCAGGACTGACGGGCTTTCCAGGGCACAGGACTTCCAGTGCGAAGCCCACATAAACCCTGGCCTAGGCTGGGTGGTTGCTCACCTAGTGCCTCTGTCTCGGGACTTCAGGCTCCGGGAGGCCAGGGGCTTGTTCTTCTGTTCAGTGTTTATTCCCAGTGCCTGGCACAGACTTAGATCATGAGGGGAAGTCAGGAAACATCTGCTGGCCCAGTAAGGAAAGGAGCGAATATGTCAACGTAAGCTGAACTGTCTTTTCTTGTAGAAGCCTGTCTTTCCTCCCTGAGATGATTTTTTTCTACGTGAGGTGTTAGAGGTCCCTTTTTCATAAATTCTTTTTATTTGATAACATTTAAAGTTGACAGTGTTACCACCTTGCTGTTTGGGAGTTGGAAATCCTTCTGATTCGAGGGCTTATAGTTGAGTGCAAAGGGAACCGGAATCACTGGGGTCAAGACATTTAAAGAAGGTTTGTCCCTGGGCGAAACTGCTGGGCTATAAATTGCATGAGGGCAGAAATTGTGCATATTTAGTTCATTTCTGTATCCCCAGGGCCTGGCATAGGACCAGGCATATAAAAAGGGCTGAATCAGTATTTGTAGAATAAATGAATGACTAGGTTCTCTGCCTAGCCTCAAGACATGCAGGAGTAGACCTGGCGTAAGTGCCTAACTCCCTTGGATTGCCACCCTCGAACTGCACCTTTCCACACCCATAACCTTTCCACACCCATAACCTTTCCACACCCATGAATATGACCTCAGCGCCTGTCCCTGCTGGATGCATGGGAAGGGTGCCCCACTCCAGGGGAGTGAGCACATGGTCCTCCTTCGGCTGTCCTGGCTTATCTCTTGCTCTGTTTTCCTATCACCTAAAAGGACTTCCGTGGTCTGCTACAAAGGAAGTCGTGACGTCTGGAATACTCAGTGCACCTCACCGGCCTAGCTTTGTTCCAGCTGTTTTCTGGGCCTGGGGTGCTTGTTCCACTTCGTCTGGTGAAATCCTCTAAGTCGAAGCTTATGTCCCGTCTCTAAGAAGCCACCGCTGGACCAGTTCCCTCCTCGCTGCCTGTGCCCCACACATTTTCTGTGGGTCTCTACCATCCTGTGGACCTCGCTGCATTTTGTTTGTCCATTTTCTGTCCCTCTCGGTGGGCAGCTTCTTGAAGGCGAGAACCCTGACTCACTTCTGTGTCCCCAGCACCCAGTAGAGGGAGATGACCGGCTGTAGGGTGGCTAGTAGGTGTTAGTAGAAGGAAGGGAATATATCAGTTATCTGTTACCACAAACAAATGCTGGGCAACAAACAAACACAACTCGGTGACATACAAGAAGACAGGTTTTTGTTCACAAGCCTCTCAGATGGCTGGGAGATTCTGGCGATCTGGGCTCGTTAGCTGCTGGTCGACTAGGAGGCTTTGCTGACCTTGTTTTTGCTCCCTCACATATGTGAAGCGCCACCTGCAACAGCTGGGCTGACTCAGCTCTGTTGCATGACTTTCCACCCAGCAGGCTAGCTCGGGCATGTTCTCGTGGCAAAGGCAGAGGAGCCAGAGGACGAGCAGAGAAGCACATAGGCCTCTCGAGGGTGAGGCCTGGAAAACTGGCACAGTGTTCCCTCGACCTCATTCTGTTGGCCATACCGAAGCACCAGGCTGGCCTGGATTCAAGCGGTGGGGACCCCACCTCTCAATGAGAGGAGCTGAGATTACATGGCAAAGGGGGTGGATACCTGGACGGGTGGAAAATGAGGAACGCATTTGCAATCAGTCTGCCACGGAGAAGGAGCCAGCAAGGAAATGTCTCATTAGTTTCTGTCCAAAATATTCTCGTTCGCAATCCTGGGATCGAAATCAATTTATCAGTAAGGTTTCTAAAGATGATACCATGCCCGTCCTTTGGATCGAGTAACTTCTCACCATAAAAGGAATTTACTAAGAAGCTGAATTCCGTGGTTATAGAATACCAGATGGGAGGAAGAGAAGGCTCCTACTAGCCCTGAAGGTCAGTATTTTCACATAGGTTGTCTCTTTCTTTCCAGATTAGCAGAGACCCGATTTTTGTACCAGGCGTCTGGGGCCCTTATTTCTCAGCCATGGTTCCTGGGTTCTGGCTGAATGAAGGTGGACAGAGTGTTACTGGGAAATTGGTAAGTTGACACTTTTTCATTATGGTCTTTAACGTTTTTATACCCATGACTAGCTCATTTTGTCACATTACCCATATCCCGAGTATCTGGAAGATTTGCAGAATCCTAAATCAGGAGAATTAACTTTTTCTCAGTGTACAGTCTAACATATGGAGCACATACTTGCCAAAGGAATAAGTGCTGGGCAGGCGATGATGACTAACCCATCTTCTCATCTGTCTTTCACCCAACAATCCTATTTTCTCATGGCAGCAAGAATGATATTGTACTTCATGAAAAGGACCATGTGACTCCCCAGCCCAGATCCTTCAGTGGTTCCCCAGGGCCCTTGGGACATAGTTCAGATGGTTTTCTGTTCGCATCATTCCCTCTGTGGTGTTTCCCCTCTGGGCCCGCACATGGACTTGTCACCAGGTCTCGGTTGCCTTCCTCACAGCTTCCCCAGGGCTCAGGTTCTTCCACTCGCTGTGCCTTTGCATATTCTACCTGCTCCAAGAGTTCTTTGCTACCTCGATCATTGTACTTGTCCTTCAAGATAGGACTCTACTTCTTATCACATTCCGTCACGCTTATTGGTTTACTAATCTCTCTTTTCCAGAAATCTGTGAGCTCCTTAAAGGCAGGGATGTTCCTCTTTTTATAGAGCTTAGTTCTTAGGAGGTGCTTGCTAAGAATGTGTTGAATGCCTGCAGTTGTCTAATCGGGAAAACAGAAGATCCAGAAATGTGAAATGAGCACTACGCCAGAGGTACAAGGCACAGAGTTGGCACAAAGCAGGGTTAGGATGCTCTATGCAGGGAAGAAGGCATTTGTGCTGAGCCCTATGAGATGATCAAGCACCAGTGAGGCAGAGAAGGACAGAGACACTCTCCTGGACAGGAGGACTGGCATAGGAACAAGAAATGGGAGCGAAAATAACAAGACATATTTGAGGGCCATTGCAAACAGTCCAGAATTTCAGCTGTAGCATCAACTTGCCTTAGAAGAATGACTTACCTTAAAGAGAATTGGGCAGGGACCACATCATAAGAATTCCCTGTCAAGCATGCTGAGAAATTGAACTTTATCTAGTAGCCTAAGACCAAGGGGAACCAGTGAAAAGAGGGAAAATGGACAGAAATGCTCAGATCTCAGTCGTAAAATCTCTGGCCAGCAGCACTGGCAAGAAGGCCCGAGGGCATGTGGCAGGAGGCAGGGAGGCCAGTTTTCGTGGGTCCGTCCGCAGATGAAAAGCCACGAGGGCTGGGATGAGGACAATGGTGACGATGACTGAGCTGAGGTTGGGAGATTGGCTGGCTTTGGAGGGATTAGATGTGGAAGGCAAGAGAAAATGAGACTTAGCCTCAATTACTCAACCTCACATTTATTTACTGTGTTATATTGAAATCATCTGTTTATGGTCTGATTCCCCCACCAACTCTTCTAAATGTTCAGTCAAAAGTGATCTGATCCAAGAAGAAAGAGTACAAAGAGAACAAAAGAAAAAACAAAGTGATCTGATCCAGAGCAGAATGGAGATGCCAGTACCCGTTAGTTTCCATCTCTTACAGTAGTGCTGTGTTACACATAGTGCCTCAAATTCTCTCTCAAAGTCCATGGAAGCATTGGGGTTGGCTTCAAAGAGCATGTTCTCTGTCCTTGCTCTTCTGACAGCCTACAGAGATGAGTTAAATGAGCTCGACCCCCAGTCAGCCTCTGGTTTTTGTTTTTGTTTTTTATCCTCACTCGAGGACATTTTTCCATTTTTTCTTCAGATAGAGTGGAAGCGAGAGAGAGGAAGAGAGAGAGAAACATCGACGTGAAAGGGACACATCGAGTGGCTGCCACCCCAACCAGGGCCAGGGACAAACCGCAACCGAGGCACGTGCCCTTAGCGGGAACCGAACCTGGGTCTCTCTGGACCTCAGGCCGACGCTCCAACCGCTGAGCCAAACCCGCCAGGGCCAGCCTCTGGTTTTAAGGAGCTCATTGTCTAGTAGGGAAACTCAGTATAAAATACATAACATCTGATTGGTCTTAATAACCAGTGCTGGAAATGACGGGAAGTAAGACCTCACTGGGTGCTTAAGATGCCGTAGGACTGGAACTTTACATTCTCCTATTCAAACCAGTGCCGTGTATTTATACAACTTTCCATTTAAATATCGGTTCCCTTTCTGTGACACACTGAAAACTCATTATTGAAATATAGCACTTTTCAATCCTGCATCATGGTGCCATCACCCTTAGCTGACCCAGAACTCATAGAGGACATAACCCAGAGGCTTTTTATAACAAGGATAATGATCCAGTAAACCACGTCTTTGTGCCGGATGCATTGTCCATGAAGCTGCCCATCAACAGGCTTTTGGGGAGTTAGTATGCAAATTGAACATCTGTGTCAGTCTGGAAATGCTTTTCCTGGTATTTGGCTCTAAGTTTGCTCTGTTGCTATGGATATAAGCCATCTTCGCCCAAATGTATGATACTGTAGAGAAGCGTTGGTTACTCTTCTGTCCTGAACCTGAATTTAAATAAAAATTATAATCTCTTTACCATTAACCCTCCGTCAGAGTCCAGAATGTTTTCCATAGGAGTCATGGGAATTGTCGGCCTTTATCTAGTTAGTTGATTGTGCACCATCAACCAATCAAGCTGCATTTGGAGTTCTACTTCGAGCAGTTCTACATATATAGTTTCCTCGGACGTAGGGGTGAGGCATGGTTCATTCATGGCCTACAGAGAGTGAAATCGTAGGAAATCTGAAAGCTAGCATAATGGGGCAAAATCTGAATCAAGAACAAAACAGACTGTCCACTGAACCATCACTCCAGAGAGGCCAAGCCAAGAGACAGAAACCACCTATAAGGCAAAGAGATTAACTAAGAATACCAATAATGATGGTAATAATAATAACAACTGCCCCTTACTGAGCGTGTTGTTTATCTGTGGGAAGGGTTTGTGTATATAATCTTGTTAACCCTTGAATGATATCCATAGTAATCACAATGTCTGATATTTATTTTGAAGCCTTATTTCCCAGACTTCATTCCAAGAGCTTTTCACATACTATCTCATGTAGTCCTCGTGAAACTCCTGTGGGATGGGAACAGTTGCCCATGTTTTACAGTCGAGGAACTGAAGCTCGGAGTAGTCCGCACAGCCTGGGAGATTCCTGACGTTCTCGCGATGGCCTTTCACCTGGCTTCCTGGCCTTTCACCCTCCTTTTCCGTTTCGTCGTCTCCTTTACTCTGTTGTGAGTCCCCCTCTCTGGTTTTACAGCATGCTGGGACACTGTAGGAGGAAGTGACATTTTTTAGGTCTTGTTTTACATGCGTGTCACCTCTCATATGCCATGTCTGAAGTGTCGGTTTCGTCCGGCTGGTGTGCTCAGCGGTTGAGCGTCCACCCATGCACCAAGAGGTCACTGGTTCAATTCCCGGTCAGGGCACATGCCCAGGTTGTGGGCCCGGTCCCCAGCGAGGAGCATGCAGGAGGCAGCCAGTCGATGTTCTCTCTCATCGATGTTTCTATCTCTCTCTCCCTCTCCCTTCCTCTCTCTCTCAAATCAATAAAGGAAATAAATTAAATAAATAAATAAATAATAAAGTGTTGGTTTCACTATCCTACTGTCCACAGTATATTCTAAACACACAGCCGTAAATACACCATCTAAAGTAGAAGACAGGAGAGAAGAGAGTTGAGAACAATAAAAATTATCTAAACTCTAGGTTTGAAAAATAGATATTCTGTCTCATTTCTACAATTAAATACAGATCTTCCATCACAAAGCAAGTTTTTTATTCCAAGCATGTGGATAGATTGGTACTAAAAAAAAAAAAAAAGTCCATCTGGTTAACTTCAGGATGAAGAAAAAATAGGATAGGATCTTCTCTGGCTCTGGAACCCTCGCTGTTTTATCTGACTGAGATTTGGACTCATTTTTACTCATTTCAAGCTTGTCACTCTAATATTTATTTCCTCTTGGAAAAGCACATCCCCGCACCCTGTGGGTGATTGATTTCGGTTACATCAATCAAGCACCCATGAAGGAGTGTCTCTCCCTCCAGAACAGTTGTGCGAAACACATTGCTCTGAGCCCGGACTTTCCCGCAGAACAGCAGTCCATGCGGGCCCCTCAAACAGATGCTGAAGCCTATTCCCAACTGGACCTCGGCCATCCCTCTCTGCACACACCCTTTTCTGTAGTGCTCGAAGTCACTTTCTGGGGGGCAGGTGTCGGGGAAGAGAGGCTAAGACAAGTTTCTAAGCCACCCCTGTGGTGGCATTGGCTTTCTGGGATAATTGTCTTGGGTGAGGGGTTGCCTTGGAATTGTTTGAACCCAGAATTTACCTTTATGAAGAGGAACCACAGAGCCACAATGTAGCAAACTGCTTTGTGCTCTGGGAGGTTCAAGGTTTGTGCACTGTGAGTGCCTCTCTGCCACCCCACCCCCACCCTCCTTGTTGCCAATGCGGGTCAGCCTGGGGCCAGCCCCGGGAAGAGGCTGCGTGATGGGCTCCCAGTAGACACAGTGCTGTACAGGCTATGGAGAGAGCGATTTCACCCCTTCATTCATTCGCTCGTGATTACTCTGGGCCAGGCAAGAACAAGATCACGTGATTCCTGTCCTCTAGTAGCTGGTTATCTTGTGGGAAAGTTGGCTGTGGAACTGACGATTATGATTTACTGTCGTACGTGATCGTGGCTCGCACTGCCCTGCAGCCTGCTGTTAGGTGCCAGAACCTGCTGAGATGCAGCGTTCCGTCTGATCTTCACGTCTCTGTGATGTCACGATGTCCATTTTACTAGTGAATAACTAGAACAGAGTAAACAGAGCGGTGAGAGATAATCTGATTAAGGTCTCCCCGTTATAAGTGGGAGTGCCTTGATTCAGACCCAGGTCATCTCCCGGAAGCTCCGGATCTTTCCAGAACTGGGTCCGACTTGTGTGGATCTGCATTCCTGAGTGTTTCCTACAGATTTCCTGTCGATTCCCTTGAGAATCAATTATTGTCA